CCCCAAAACCCCAAAACCCCAAAACCCCAATTAATTATTTGTTTTTTGAAATTTAAGAATTTAAAGTCTTCAACTTAACGAATATGATTCAACCTGAAAAAGAACTAAACTCATTCAAACTAAAACAAGAAGAAATAGGAATTCGACATAATATACAAAGCTCTAGAAATATCGAACCGGATCTGAATTCTAAATCATTGCAAGTAAAATCAAGTTTGGACAGCATAAAGAACTGCTTGTCAAATCCAAATTTATGAAGTATTTTCAGTAGCAATAGTCCCTCAAATCCTAGAAGACAGACTTACGACCAAAGTGATAGGAACCATATCACCATTCCAGCTCGGAAATAAACAGTATATTCGTATAGTAATTGGTTAGGTCAAAGGAAGATCCTCATTGCGAGGAATACACTAAACATATCATCCAGAGGCAGAACTACAACATGGAGGCTTGCTACCAGCGATATGAAGAACAACAGAGGTCGAAAGAGAGGTTCATTCAGAACTATGAGAAATACAACACGTTTGTATAAACACAAAGGTATTCCTATAATAATCAACTTAGAAAACTAAGCCTGCAAGTGAGCTATCTAAGTATTTTACCCCAAGAGAGTCTAGAGAAGGCGTCAAGGAATTTGTCCCTCCCATTATAGAGGAAATGAAACTTTCTCAGTTTTTACTTAGCCCAAAAGGATTACCACAAGATAGAAGGTGTAATACATCCAGGAATGCACAGATGGCAGAACTTCAGAGCAGGCTGATGCTTAACTCTGAGTCAGCTAAGAAGACTAACCAGAATTCGAGGATCCCACAATTTAGAAGTATAAATAATGATAAAATATACGTGAAAGTCGAAGATTATTGTGTCTCTAATACAACAAGTTTTAGCTCTATTGATGAAAGACAATTTCAAAATGTGGTAGAAGGATTTAAGCACACACAAAAGTGGACTAAGACCAAAAGGGCTCAGTGTAAAAGTGATTGAGACACATATCATAAACCTGATACAAAGCCAGTTACAGTGAAAAGATCGGCTCTTGGAGAAATTGGCATTGATTCTAACAGATCTAATAAGAAGAATCCGCATCCTCAACTTAAAGAAGTTCGAAAACAAAGAATAAAGAATGAATGATCTGAATATTTACAATCAACTATATTATCAAAGTTGAGAGATACAAGAAGGCAGATTATGAATGCAAAGATTGAAATGAGGAAAGAGTCAAGTTCAATAATATCAACTAGATCAGCAAAGGAGAACATGCGCCCTGTTTCTAATCGCTGAAAGACCTCATGCAACACACGTTCTGTAGAGAAGGAATATTGTAAAGCTATAAGGAATATTAAGAATTCTACATTATCAATGGTTAATAATGTCACTCATCGATCAAGATCAGCTAATTCTGTTGCTAGAGCAAAGAGCAAAACTAATAAAAACCATAAAAAGCGTGGAACAAAGCTTAATAGCTTAGCTAGGAAAGTATCACAAACTAGTGAGTCAAGAAGTAAATCTAAGGTTACTTCATCAGCTCAGTCAAATGTGCCTCTAAAATCATGGTAAGTTTGCAGTTTTAATCCCTAGACGGTCAAAAAGTTCGTTGTCCAGATATAACAGGTCTGTTAATAAGACCATCAAAAGGTTCAGTAAAAAGTTTAGTCAAGTAGAGATGAGAGCAAATTCAAAGGAATCTGACCAGAGGAAGTCCAGATGGATGACTTAATTTCAATTACAACTTAAATTATTGGGGTTTTGGGGTTTTGGGGTTTTGGGGTTTTGGGGTTTTGGGG